CTGTTTGTGATCAATATCAATCACGCACACTGAGACCAAGACATCCCAGTCTTTTTTGAGGCTGAATGCAGGGCCACTTCATTGGCCCTTCCAATAGCGGATTGGTGGTAGACGAACCGACCCACACACAGACGGACTGCTATCTCTAGAGCCATTCACCTAATTGTATATAGTAGCTTTACCATTTAAGCCAACAACATTCTTGATTCATTTAATAGGCGCCCCTTACCAACCCTCCGCACCAACACTGTTGACAGCAAGAGTAGTAATCCATCGTCCTCGAGACTCTAATTCTATCATACGCCCCTGACCTCGACCTGAGCGTATGCTCGCCAATGTCCCCAAGATGGATTGGGAGAAAATGAGATGTAACAATACAGCAGGGAGGGGTGATGATGCAGGGCAGGGGGTTTGGTCCTGTTGTTGGGGCCAGCTTTGTCGTCAACCTCTCCCCCCCTCTGGCTTGCTGCTCACACCTGCCCATTAGGAGGGTGGCTGGCCTCCGTCATCCAAGCCATCTCGTCATGATGTGGTTGTTAATGCGCTTTGTTATTGCACCATTCTGCCAGCTCGTCTTCATTATGGCAACATAGCAGTGGTGAAACCTGCACAGGTCCGTATGTAACAATGTGTATTCATTTGAAAATGAGTATGAAAGAAATATCTACACTGATACACTATAAAACAAATTAAAATCAAAAAATAGAATTAAAAATCCCATTAAAACGTGTCGAAGCTCTTTATGGCACAGAAGAGATCTGCTCAGAGAGACAGGCTGTCTGTTAATAAATGTTAATTACAATACCAGAGGTTAGTCATGTCCCAGCCATGTTCTCATTCGAAAAGGATGAATGGACATCACCAGCGGGTGATGACTTCCTCTGCAGCCCCTTGTACTCCCATGAGGCCATCCTGTACTGTCACTATGATGAAGAAAGAGCACTGTCAGTTACTGAGAGTATACTTATGTGTACTGAGGATTGTTGAGGATCAAGCACTGGGAATTGGAGATGCACCGGTCGATCGGCTGCCGATCGAAACCGGCCCAGTCTCATATTTCAGATTTTTTGCCGGTCATATTACACATGCGTGCCATTGCCTCGTGGTAGTTTTACGTCGGCACACGGCAGTATCTTGTCCCCATAAGGAAACTAACAGCTATTGTTAACGGAGGTTACTATAATTCGTTCAAGCTCCACTCAGTAAAAATGTGTATTGAGCGAAGATAAATTCTTATTATTATCATGTGTTAAAATGTCATCTTGTAAAATGTAGTTTTGGCGCGTATGAATCCAGTTGTTTGAAGATGTTTTTACAGTAATATAAAATTTATATCAGAGAGGGAATTATGACCTGTTCCTATATGTCTAAGCAGCTTTCAGTAAAACTACTAATGTCTTCAATCTAATTTTAGTAAAAGCAGTTATTTGAAAAAATATGATCATGTATTTCCTACAATTGGAATTGTGTTTTTATGCGAATAACCATAATAGATGACAATAAAAATAGTAAAAGGATAACATTAATACATTTAGACGATATACACTGACTTTGTTTCAGATAAAATTACTTTTCAAGACGGTGGTGAAAAAAAATGGGCAGGTCATTCTTTGAATAAAAAGGAAATTGTAATCAGCCAAGAAAATTGCAATCGGTGCCGTCTTACTGGGAATGTAAGAGAATAAACAATGTGCATGTGTTCCCTAAAAGAAGAAACGCGTGTTATGAATGAAATCGTGGGTGTAGCTCCGTGTCAGACTGAATGGATAAAAGCCTAATTTTCAAAGGATTCTGTTGTCATTTCTCTAGTTGCTCTAGTTTCAGTCCTCCCATACTCCAGAGAGATCCCCGTGACAAGCCTGTGGTGTGTGTATCGTGTTTTGAATACCAAATGACACAAGTACGTACACACACACACACACACACACACACACACACACACACACACACTGGCATGGCGTCTGTTTCTTCTGTGGAATGCAGTGCCAAAGTTAGTTAACCTGGCAATTGTTGGAGGAGGAAATTTGTCCTCGGCGGCTTTCCCGTCCTCAGGAGTGTTACTGGCAGGCTGTGGAGATGCCAGTGCGTCGTTTTCCAGGTAGTATACTGTACTCTGTTTATCTAGAATGCTGGGTTTAACTGCCCGGAGTTATGGTCCTACCCGTTTTATGCCCAAGCCATATGGGGCACCTTATCTCCGCTAACATGGCACATCTCCACCATGGCACATCTCCAAGTAAAGATTTATAGGGAAATAATGAAGGCATGTTACATTCCTCTCTTCCTTTTGAATGCTTGTAGAACTTAATTTCTTACAGAAAAGTCAAGCTTTATGATATCAAGGGTTAGTTTTTGAACAGCTATGTCTCCGTGGAGATGGTTCAGTGTCAAACACACCTCCGTTGAATGAACACACAAAGAACAGGCCTTGTATTCACTACGATTCGCTCGTATTCATAGTTTATTGGAGTTGTTTAGCCATGCTAGCAGCAGGGGTTATTGGTCAGTCTACCACTTTGGTTCAGAATGAAATATCTTGACAATTACAGTGAATTGCCATTATATTTGGTCCAGACATTCATGGTCCCCAGGATGACTTGTAATAACATTGGTGATCCCTTCACTTTCAATATAGCGCCATCATCAGGCGAAAACCTTGAATTTGTCAAATACTTAGGTTCATCACCAAATTCCTGCAAAACACATGTCATCAGCCGGAGCAGTACTTTGTGTTTAGAGCTAATAAGCAAATAGCATTTAGCTCTAAGCATGGCTTCACAGAGACACTTTTTGATCAACTTTGATCCACCCCGCCCCAATTTCAGATAGATACAAATTTTTTGAAATAAAATTTAAAAAAATGTTTTGCCTTGTATACGCTCAGGAAATAATATCCAGTGTTCCTCCTCTGAGAGCTGTGTATGAAATGAGTTGTTGGCCCCCTTATTGGCGGCTTGCCCGGGAAGCCCTTCCATTTAATTGGCCTCCCGTTTGTGTTGAGCTGCACCCACCCATTATGATCCCTCATAAACGTGGAAGTACGAAACCAAACCTGCACCTGTACATCGAGAGAGAGAGGGAGGGAGAGAGAGAGAGGGACAGACCGAGGGAGAAGAGCGCCGCTGCTGATGTCATTAATCGCCCCGCAGGAAGGACCCCACATATTTCTCTTTGCCATCGAAACACTTATCTTTGAACACACACCTCAGCTCACCCATAACCAATTTCAATTTGGCATCTCTTCAAATGTCCTCCATCATGGTCACTAAACCAGGAAGCCAGGGGATGGCCAATAGCCACGATGAAGGAAAAGGTCACTTCCAGCAACAACCTGTTAATTGGATTTGTCTCCATTCTTAGCAATCAAACAATGCCCGTCAGGGTTATCGTCTGGCGTGTGGGATTGCCAGTAACATTGGCCGAAGAAACATTCCTGTGGTTTTGCATTTTAGAGCTCATTAACTAGAACTTCCGTATTCTCCACATTACTGCTCACCATTTCCAAAGCATCGTCCTCCCTTCCAGACAGCTGTTGGTATGCTATGAAAGTGGAATTTACTGAGTGCATTTAGTTTGGTTTCCCTCTTTCGGCTGCCAAACGGCAACTTGTTTAATGCAATCCAATTTGAATGATAATTTTCACGTCTTTGTGACGTGAATTCAATACTTTTTGACATCTGAGCAGAGCATCCACCAAGCAGAATATTACCTGTTGTTTACGATCAGTATCTTACCCGAATGTGGCACGTTTTTTTTCTCTTTTTTTTTCCTCTGCAGACAGCCTTTGTGTTTTTAAGCTGTTTTTTATTTGTTTTTTTTGCATCCCCGGAGAAACACTAGCGCTTACATGTCAGACAGTACATCATTGTGTTCCAATCAAACCTCTGCTTAAGTCACCTACAACCCTCAATGTATCATGTTGTTTTTATTATCGCGCTGTAAGGCGTTTCCAGGATGTCTTTCTTTTCCAAATATCGTAAATCTTTTGCACGGGAATTATCGGGCGAGGCGCGTTTAGTCTCTAGGCGACTTTAACCTTGTAAGCTGTTGTTTTTGCATCCCGGGATAGAGGACGACTCGTGTGTCACACATCACGGCGGTTCCCATCAAACCCCCGCTTGGCTGTTAAGTGCCTTTCAAGCCTTCTCTCCGTGGCATTCCCGTCATTATTGACAGACCTCAAACAGCCTCCTTAAAGACTCGACTGGCATGTTTTCTCCTGGATTCTCAAGTGTTGTGTTGTTTCAGTAAAAAAAAAAAAAAAAAGAAGAAAACTTTAAAGTGGCTCTTTTGTGTCTGCGAGACCAAGAGGCACATTCTGAACAGTTTGTCTCCCTGACATTGTGTGTAAACTTGGCCCTGGCCTCTTGGGAGTCACAGGAAGGGAGAATGAAAGTGGCCTTAGAACTGAAGATCTAAATTATCATTCTCCTTTTCCATTACTGTTTTGAGGGGGGAGGGGTGTATAATCCTCAGAGATAATTGATTTTTCGGGGATGGTTCAGAGGTAGGATGCTGCACCTTGGTGGGGAATATGAGGGATGGGAACAATTTCCTCAGAAAAAGAGAGTTGACTCAGAGTTCATTGTGTTTTTTCGTTTATTTTTACCATGGAAGGAAACTTTCCAGAAAACAATTTTTTTGTGCTCAAAGTCTCTTTAATGTCCTGCTGGATTGGGTAAACTTTCGGTCACACCGTGTTAAAATCCCAGTGGGATTTTGTTTTTTTTAGGGGGGGGAGGGTACCACTCTCAACAGCGGGAGGTAGCAGTCGGAATAAAAGTGGATATGGCTCAACAAATCCCTTCCAGTATCTGCAGTGTAAGACATCTAAAGCTGTCCACGTAAAAAGGACTTCAAACCGCCGTCCCCCGGTAGCCACACTGTTTTTTTCTTTTATCCAACTGCGACTAAACTGAGATAATTATCACATTTGTATTTTTGAGCTACAACCCAGGTTAAATTATAACAAATCCCTTTCTTCTCTCCTCTCTTTGCAGGATCCTTTTAGCACTGCCGACTGCTGTGATGAATACTGATATGTGGACAGTGGAGTAACAGTAAAGGAGCCAGAGGAATCCTGGTTTGATGTAAGTTCCGCCCTCTTTCACCCGTTTAGCTCTGAGCTGACCCTCGGCTTCTTGTCCTGTTATATGCCAGAGGTTCTCAGGCACATTTCAGTGGCTGGTCAGCTTCAGATTGGAGATGTGGCCTTGCGAGCAACTTTGAAATCGCTCTAATCTTTAAATAACTTACCCTGCATTGCATGGAATCTGTTGTTGGGGTATATAGTAAAAATAGTTTTGTGCAAGGATGTGTAGAATCCAGCTGATTATTTGAATCAGCCAGTGTAAATCTAACATGTGTTGGCTAATTGACAAACTGTTGACTTGATTAGGATGCATGGAAATGTAAACATCACTCTGTTTTTATCAGAGCTGCATTCAAAGCTCCTACTGAGGTTTTCGGATGAAGCTTTGCATGTCTGTCGTAATATTTACATTTGATTTTTAGTCCTTGGAATGAAATCATCATTTTGAATAAAGGGATTCATTGTATTAACCTTCTGGTTTCTTTAGGGTTCTGTCTTCAGAAGAATACCCTTAAAACAGTAAATTAAATTGGGCATTATATTTGTTAGTGATAATAATTATACATTGTGATAATTATGAATATTGATCAATACAAAAAAAGACTTTGTTATAACATAGCTGGCCTCTTTTTTGGCACAGCCCTAATTGCCGACCAAAACAGCTGCAACCCAATAAGCTAATCATCATTTCTTAATGGTAGATAACAGAAAGCAGCTCCGACGATGATTGAGTGATTCTTTTTGAATCCTACCTCACAGAGATGGGCTTACTACCAATTTGTTAATATAATAAAACCAAGGGATTGCAAACGAGTATGCGTGCATTGCAAACCATGGTCAAGAGTTTATGGACTTTTTTGCTGAATTACAACTCTCTGGTGGTTAACCACAGGGTGTGACAGCTCCATTAGTCTGTCACTTCAAGCACCTGGGAGAAAAGGACGCTTGAGAAGCTCAATTTAGAGCAAGACAGTCCTCCGTTCCAGTCATTAGTCCCGCTGCTAGTTTGATTGTGGTACCTCTCTTCTCTTTAGCTGAAGTGAACTGCATCATTAAGATAAGCATATCTCACAATTATCTTCTTAGCACAAGCTGTGTGGGCCTATATGAAAATGAATGTTTTAAACTTTTATTACATAATATCTAAGGATGAACATAAACATTTTGTTGCTTATTTAGTCATGAATATTTAATGTTTCTAAGAAACCACGTTATCAGGGACCATTGTAGATTATGGTACTTAAATGGCACTCTACTATACTATACTCTACTACACTCTACTATAGTCAGCTATACTGACTACACTACAATATTCTAATACACTGTACTCTACTATATTATACTACACTATACTGTACTATACCATACTCTACTATACTATACTCTACTACACTCTACTATAGTGTACTACACTTTGCTATACTGACTACACTATAATATTATACTACACTATACTGTACTATACTAAACTATACTATACCATACTATACTATACTATAATACATTATACTGTACTATACTAGACTAGACTGTCGTAGACTGACGATACTTTGAAGATGGCATGTTTTCTGGTGCACTTCGCTCCTGTCCTCTCATCATGGTTCCTACTGGTGCCTCCACATGCTGCCTCTGCGCTCTTTGTTCCACTTCATTGGGGTGTGTGCTCATGTGTGCCTATCTCTGTCTGTGTGTGTGTGTGTGTGTGTGTGTGTGTGTGTGTGTGTGTGTGTGTGTGTGTGGATGCGAGTGTGCACCAAGAGAGCATTTTGAGGATGGGTTGGATTTCTGTTTACTCTCCCACCCCGTCTTCCCTGTGTGACGGGAGCACGTGCGTGGGTGCGTGTCTGTCAGCAGCAGTGTTTGATGCTGTTGAGCGTGAGCCCGTATTTGTGTGCGTGCCTCCAAATGCGGCGTGCAAATGAAGAAAGGGGTAGTGCGTAAGTGAATATGTGTAGGATTGCCATGTGTGAGTGGGAGTATGCTCTGGTGGAAAAGAAAGGGAGGAACAAGATAGAGAGAAAAACACACTTGTATGCTGTGTATGCACACAGACATGTTTGTTGCATGCCTCTGTAGGTGTGTGCAGACACATACACACGCACACACACACACACACACACACACATACACACAACTCCAGGGACTAGCATGTTCATTATTCTTCCTAAAAGAACCATTAAAATTTCATCAGTGCAATGCAATCTGTAGCAGGGCGGGGGGTAGGAGTGTGTGTGTGTGTGTGTGTGTAGGAGAGAGAGAGAGAGAGAGAGAGGGAGAGACTCAGCAGTGTGAGGGGAGGGAGCTTGCATCCTCCGCTCATTCACCACTGCCTGCCTTCATGCCTCTCTCTCCTCCTCCTCCTCCCTTTCTTCTTCTTTTTCATCATCTTCTTCTCTGGTGGCTCGACTCCCTCGCCGCGTGCACGCCCGATGCGCAGATTACGACTTCTCTCATGATGTGAGCTGCCAGCATCCCTCCCCTCCCACTCCCTCCATCCATCCCACCTCATTCTTCTACTACTACTACTACTACTACTATAGCTGCTGCTGCACCTCCTCTCTCTCACACACACTGGCACCGGAGGAGGCTGTCCTTGGGCTACAGGAGGAGAGAGTTGGAGGGGGAAAGGGTTGACAAGGTGCAGTTGGATTCTCAGGGAGGAATCTTTTCTTCTCCTGGCTAGGTTTGGATATGTGACGTACGGAGCGCCAGATGGGTCACATTCACAAGATTAAGAGCCGGATCCTGATTGGAATACGTTTTTGAGTGGAGCCTCCCTTTAATAGTGCACGGCCGGAAATTTAACGGTGAGCTTTTGATTCATTGCCTCGTTCTTTGGCGACTAACTTGTTGATTTGCGTGGCAAGAGCCCATGTTTTCTTTCATACACAACTTCTAAGAGTTTTCTGTTTCAACCCTTCCTCCTTTTTTCTGTAATTGGACTGATCCAGCCCGTTGCACTGGTGTTTCTTGTAAAAGAAGCGTAGCTAATTAGCGCTGTTCTTTTTTTCCCAACATTGATCAGAAATGTGGGGAAATCGGCAGCAGCCTTTAAATACCGCGGGGAGGGAGCAAGCAAGTGAGCGGTGGTCCCCCCCCCCCCACAACACACACCCGTATGTGGCTTTGTTTTGCCAGCACGAGCGCAAGGCGCCAGCTCTCAGGTAGATCCGATGGCGCTAATTGCCTTCTAATTGGGTTTCCCCTCGGCCGTGGAGGTTTTTGGTTTCTGAGCTGCTTAGAGCCACAGATGAAAGAGTTTGCGGGGTGGAGTGTGTGTGTGTGTGTGTGTGTGTGTGTGTGTGAAAGAAAGAAGGGTGGAGTGTGTGTATGAGTGAGCAAGAGAGAGAGTGTAAAGCTGAGAGCGGTTGTAAGTGTGTGTGTGTGTCTGGCCAACCATGCGAGTGTCTGAAGGAGTGAGAGAGCGTCTCGAGCCTTTGTGTGTGTGTTTGCGGTGGTTGGAGTGAGTATCGTGACTGTGTGTGTGTGTGTTATTCGCGGGCCCATCTGTGGAGGTCTTGTGTGATGGATGGTGACTGACAGAGGGTGTGAGGTGGGTGAAGGAGAAGGAGGATGAAGAGGAGAGGCAGCGCGGGATGGGGGGAGGGTGTCAGGAGGATACGGGGGGGTAGCTGGTCTCCCATCTGTGTGTGGATCTATGTGCTTGAACAGTACATCACAGACCGGCTAATGGAATACTGGAGACTTGAAGGGTCCTCTCCTGCTCCTCCTCCATCACCACATCACCACACCTCACCCCAGCCTCCACGCTTGATTCTGGGTGGAGTGTGACACACCGGAGGGCATTCCGTTGTCTCTGAAGGTGTTTAGATTCTACATGTGCACCAGGCAGCTCAGCGACTGAACTGTATGAGCTGCAGTGCTAATCTTTTAACAATTTATTCCTGCCTCACTGTGTGTGTATCAGTAATGCATATCCCACAATTCTCTTCAAAATGACACATGCATTGACCAGTACTGAACTTTTAGCTAGCTTTTCCACTTAACCTGGTTCATCTACTTAATACATTTATTTATTCTTTCATTGCCATTTAGATTTCACAAAGCACCACTCTGATGACTCAAATGTAATAAATGGGAGATTTTTTCATGTAAAAATGTGTGTAATAAAACAAGCTAGCAAGCTAACAAAAACAGAACAATTCATGTATACATCATTTCTACTTAATTCCATTTAAAGTCTGATTTGCATTACTTTATCATTTCTGTGCTACAGTTGTTTGATCACAGAATATTGCCTCTGAGTGCATCCGTCGCCCAGCAGAAGACTTCCATTAGCTCTGTTCAGAATGTCTGTCTGGAGAAATATGAGATAATGAGCAGGGAGCAGCTCACTGTATTAATCAGGCTGCAAACATAATTTTCAATAATCAGCTCCTACTCCAAGGATTCCATTGTAAACATTTTAAATTTAAAAAAACATCTCACAACATCAGCCATCGTCTATAAGATCGCCAGACAATGTGGCAATAGCTCACACAGCCAATAGTTGGCAGGAAGTAACGTACTAACAGATTAGCTTGCCGGCGATACAGCCAGTTCCATTTTGGATCTGGTTCCCTGTTAGCTAAAAACTCAGATTCACTAACCTCTGATGCTCATGCATCTCTATTAAACCCTTGTTTCCCCTTTACTCTTTTTGTATTACTAATAGCAAAGTGGAAACCAACTAGAAATCATTTGAAAGGCTTCTCATTCGTAGCCGGTGCTGGACGTTGTTGTCTCTGGTAAAAGGGATAACACCACTACAACACCTGATTACACCACTCTACGACCGCCAGTGTGTTGATGCAGTTCAACAAGACCAAATACAGAGTGGTGGCCTTCCACTCGAGAAATACAATAATTCAAACTTGTGAAAATGTTGCCGTAAATGTATGTAAGTAAGCTGTAGTTCTGCAGCTGCTTCCATGTTGGGTGTAGTTAGCCGCTGGCTAAACTGCTGCTGTCTGGCTACACCAGTTATTCTACTGGGTC